CAAGACTTTATCCAGGATCGGTAAAATCCTTGGGTTCACTGTTGACCGTACTCGTCACAAGTTGCGAAAAATGTCCTAGATGTTCGATAAGTGTTTATTAGTCGATAGAGTGTTGAAACACAAGTAAAACACGATGTTGTACTTCGACTAATCCTACCAAGACTGCGCCAGTTAAGTTTTTACTTAATAAAAAACACTTTTTATTTTAAAAGACAAAATTTTATTTTACAACTAAATGGCAGAGTAACGTACAATATGAAATGCAAACAGAGAATGACTTTTACAGAATTACAATTTTTATAAGGAATTAAAAATGCTAACTAAACATATTAAACTTCCAGTGGCGGCGCACATAACTTATATTAAGGAGATTCTTCTAAATGAATAATGCACTTCCCTACTTGTATAATTTTTTTTTTATTTTCAAAACCGACTAGTTTCGACTATTATAGTCATCCTCAGGGTTTCTACAAAAATATAGTTTAAAAAAAAAAGAATTATGATTAAAATCTAAAAATTATACTTACACGTCATTTAAATAAAATATACATATTAAAATTAAACATTTGTGTGTATATTAGGGTGTCCCAAAAAAAAAGAATATATATTTTTTTCTTGTCTCTTGTAAAAATATGTTAGTTTATCATGCTGTGAGAGCCCTTTCAAAATATCAGCTCGATTAAAAATTTTGTAGGGGTCGCTCAAGATTTTTAAAAATTTTCAAAATGGTCAAAAATTGAATTTTTGTTTTATTTTAATTCTTTTTCTCTTCTCGATATTATTTTTTAGGTTGAAAATAATAAAAATTTTGTAAATTTCAAATCAATATTTTGATTTCTAAAGGTCGCTAAAAGTTCGTTGATATATATATTCAGAGGTCGCTCGAAAACATTCAAAATACTCTACTTTGAAAGTTTAAAAAATCTTGAGCGACCTTTAGAAATTAAAATATCGATTTGAAATTTTCAGAATCATTATTATTTTTAAATTAAAAAATAATATCGGAAAGAGAAAAAAAATTAAAATAAAAAAAAATCCAATTTTTGACGATTTTGGTAATTTTTAAAAATCTTGAGCGACCCCTAAAATTTTTTTAATGGTGCTGATCTTTTGACAGGGCTCTTAAAACATGACAAACCAACATATTTTCACAAGAGACGAGAAGAAAAAAAATATTCTTTTTTTTTGGGACACCCTAGTGTATATAGTTAACAAATATCAAATTCATTTCAGACTAAACAAAATAAATTATAAATAAATAAATAAAAACACGATTAGAAATATTAGGGTTATGTTGGGATATCTGTTGTTAGTGTAGTGCGGTGTTGTATTTCCTTTAAATGTTTATATGTACTTTCAACGTAAGGTCATTTATAAGTGTTTAAATATAGGTGTGTAAAATAGGTTTACTTGTTCATTTAGGCACTGTACTTCCTTGTTTTTATTTTGTTCATTTATAAGTGTTTAAATATAGGTGTGTAAAATAGGTTTACTTGTTCATTTAGGCACTGTACTTCCTTATTTTTATTTTGTTCATAGATTTCATATGCTTCCAGAAGTGTTAGTTTGTGATTTTTTTCTTGTATGTGCATAATTGTTGTGTTTGTTTTTATGTTAAAGTGGTGTCCTGATTCTTTTAAATGGTTGCCAAAATTAGAATTGTGATTATTATTATTTATGTGTTCTTTTATCCTAGTTTAAAAATTCCTTCCTGTCACTGTCATTCTCCACAGTCTATCCTAGCAACCTTAGTTCTTCATAAAGAAAAATATTGGAAATTTGCAATGTTTTTTTAAAAAATCAATATTTTCCACAAAAATAAATATATCGAGGTGAACCAAAAACAAAACTGTTAAGAATAGATGTGAATTTTTAAATAAATGTTAATTTAGAACAAAATACGGTTTTGCCACTCTACAGAGTGTCTTAAACTTATAAGTATATGGTAAATGGTAAAAAATATGTATATATTTTTTTTAAACCTGTATATATAAACGTGCGTCTATTTTTTAGTAGTTTTTTAAAATGTGAGCTATTGTCCATTAATTTATCTACAATATTCTTTAATATTCGTTTAAATCCGACATAAAATAAAAAAGTTATTTGCGATTGAAATTCATCGAAAATTTGTGTGGATCGATTATTTTGCCTGTGCGTGTATAATATACACTGTATATTCCCAAACAAATAATCCGAGAAATTTATATTAGTTTTTAATTTACCAGTTTATTAACTTTTAAACGTTTAAAAAATAATTAAAATGTAGTCTTAGTTCTTTTATTTTAATTAAGTTAGATTGAACGGTAAGATAAGCAATTGAGTAAAATATTATGTTTGAAACTGTATGCAATTAAGCTCATATCTCACGTCCACTTTGTCCATAAATCGGTTTTCATTAAGCATAGGATGCTAGGAATATCCGAACAAGCAGATATGGAAATTCGGCATGTAATTCTATGGATTGATATAACGTAGGATCGTTTTGCACACGGAAAACGCCGCCTGTAATTTAGATTATTCAGAGGCCTGATTTAGCTAATTTATTCGATGCAAGAATGCCGTTAATTCGATTAATCACGTCTTTGACTCGCCGATATTCGAGGTCTAGTTATTACCGGATGCCGAACGACAATTGATGGCTTCATTCTCGATTGATTCATGTTTGGCACCACAGCCACAATGCCACTACACTGGAGGGAAACAATCCAAGCTGTCACGCCGCCATGTGTTTTATTTAAAAACAATGGTGGGGCACCGCGGTGCACCGCCCTAAATAAAAAAAGTCAATTAGGTTTTAACATTTTTTATTTAAAATTTGGCTTCTATAAAATTATTGTAAATTGAATATTTGTCCAACAGATTTTAAAATTTGCGGCACTATTTAAGTATTTAAGTTTCTGAACATTCAATTATTTCAGAAACAAAGCCCTAAATCAAAATTTTACAGAAATATTTTTTACATGGGCGTTAAAGATTGAGGTAAAAAGAAGAGCAGGCTCCAAATACCTTATCACAACTTAGACATTAACTACACTACATTGTGTAAAAAATCTGATGAAAATTGATTAAGTTGTTAAGAGTTTATCATGGGAAAACTAGTTTTTTAAATTAATGACGTTTAAACTGGACCACCTTTTATATATGTTATTCGAGTGAAATGGTAAAATTAACGTTTACCCTATAATATTTTAGAATTCTATATTAATAATATAAAAAATGCAAAAAAACATTATTACAACAATAAAGTCTAATTTTAAGTAGAAATAAAATTTTATTTTGTAAAAAAGTGCCGTTACAAAAATTTAATAAAAAATATTTAATTCAAAAAACAATTTATCTAATTTAATTATTATAATGCTATAATGCGTTTATATGCAAGGGTAAACAAAGCAAAATATATTATGTATCAAGTTTGATAAACGCCATTTTAGTTACGAATTTAATTTAGGCATGAGCGAGCTTGCGAGCGAGTGTTTAATTAAATGAGTGTATAGAAAAGTTTATAAATAAGTTGCATACTACACTTTATCTACGACAAGTTCTTATTATTATCTAAACATTATTTAAATTAAATATTTGTACAAAGCGACATCTATAGAAAAATAGAGTAACCGTAAGAATGGGAATCTGTATTACCGGCGGAAAATGTCAAATTTTTTTATGTAAATCGAAATTTACCCCTTAAGAATGGGCTAACAACCGTTTAAATCCAATATAGAAGCAGTTTATCAGAGTAAAAGTAAAAAGAGACTCCACCGTGGAGTCTTCACCCGAAATTTACTGGTTTACTGCCGGCCACAGTCTTATTATATATATTATTATTATATTAAAAGGTCAGTAAAAACTTATCTATAAACTTTTTAAATATAATAATTGGCGATGAAAAACTGTTTAATACTTTGGTATTTTTGTATTAGGTTTAATTTAACCTTTTAGAATAGCTGGGATTATTGCCCCATTTCCAGCAAAAGTGTAGCCAGGATTTTGTTCCGGGGGGCATATGCATGCTACAAAAAGTTTCGAGACTCATTTTTTCCTCCACAATTTTTCTGGGCTGAAGTTAATTTTAAGTTAGTTGACAGTTGTCAAATATCATACTATCGTTAAAAAAAGTGCATTTATTGTAAAATAATACTAAATGTGAAAATCATTTTATTATCTTAATACAAAAATACAAAAGTTTTAAGTTTCTCAACGTCAATATTTGAAAAGTTTATATGGATATTGAACTGACCTTTCAATTTCGCCGACAGTTAACTAAATATAACCTAATTTCAGGTGGAGACTCCACCGTAAAATGCTTATAAAACATTTTCCTCACTTTCACTGTGAAAAACGGTTGTTTAGTCCATTTTCAAGGGAGACATTTCGATTTACACGTTTATAAAAATTTGACATTTTCACCGGCGCGCCAGTAATACAGATTCCCAAGTTTGTTACTCTAATGTTTTATAAATGTCGCTTCTTACAAATATTTAATTTAAATCATTTTTAGATAATAATAAGTATATGTCGTAGAAAAAGTATAGTATGCAACCCGTTTATAAACTTTTCTAGACACTAATTTAATTAAGCACTCGTTTGTAAGCTGGCTCGTGCCAATTTATATTCGTGACTAAAATGGCGTTTATCCACTTTATACATAATATACTATTATTTAAAATTACACTTAAAAATTTTATTTTATTGTTGATAAATGTGCAGAACAATTCGTGTATATCTGAATACATCGACAACGATCTGCCTAATTGTAAATGCAATTAGACTAATCTTATATAATCAGTGTTAACGATATCGATCTGTTTCAGGATCTAAATCCACTTTGAAGTTTCTGTAAGGGAATTTCGGATAATCCAGGACAAACAATACGAAGAATAATACCAGTGTCATTACGTGAACCCAACATTGGAAAAATAAAGAAATTTCGAAATTGAAATTTATCGTGTTAGATGTAATCGTGGATAATGACTCATCGTTAATGAGTATTAAATATAACTAATATGAAGCGTAGAAATCCATCAGCAGGACACCACCCTCATTCTTCGGCGTCCTGTGTCGTAGGGGAAAAAAAGTCGCCCAGCTCCTGGCCGATTTACAGTTTGGTGAGCACCGTGGCCGTTGCCTGCTACCTGAATGGGATCGGCGGCGATTTTGTGCACGACGACATTCCTGCAGTGACTTTTAATAAGGACGTGTTGGCCATCAATCCTGTCGAACATGCCTTCAGAAACGATTTCTGGGGCACGCCGATGGCCGACGTGGCCAGCCACAAGTCCTACCGACCACTCACCGTGCTGACGTTCAGGTAATAAAATATTTTTTATTAACTCCATTTAAAAATTCTTTTCCTGTTTCTTTAGTACCTCTATAATAATATTATCAGAAGACCTTTTATTATTATAATTAAAATAATATTACATATGTAATATTATAATAATAAAATTTGAGAGATTTTACAATTTATTTTCTTATAAGATTTTTATAAAAATGTACTTATTTTGTTTGTTTAGTTTTTCAATTCATACAAAATTTAAAATAAACAAATTTATTCATTTCCCTAGATTACCGGTCTCACTTCGTTTCGAATAAATGGCGCTTACTTTCAGTACCTTCCTGTCAAAGTATACTATATATACTAATATATTGTCAATCATATTATATTGCCGATTTCGAAGTTAATGTAATAGGTTGTCTGATATTTTGTTTCAAACAGGCTCTGGGTGCTGTGGACACCCCGTGCGCCTTTCCACGTACAATTATTTTGCATTAATTTGTTAAGCTGATTTTTTCAACTTTTGTTATTACTTCACATTATACCCTGTAAAAAAGTAATTGGAACGCACGACAAAATATTTATTTTTATCTTGAAAGCATTGCGTTATGTTTTGCTTGTTTCCGTTCGTTCTAATATTTTATGTAAACAACAAATAAAAATTTGCCAAAATTTCTCCGCCCAATAATTTTCAAATTATCAGTTGTCGGTAAAGAAGGGCAGATGTGTAATTTGTCCAATTGGCATGCCTTTTTGCAAAAAGTAGAAGGTGTGCCAAAAACGTGTGCATGAAGCACAGGAAAAATGTTTGTAAAGAAAGCTTTTATTCCATAGTAAATTCTAGTATCGAAATTGAGAGACTTTGAGCAGGCTGGGTTTCGCCACCCTATTGACTTTTCTTTACCAAACCATAATTACTTGTAAAAGTAAACCTTATCTTATGTGCTTAGTGTTTTTTTTTTTGTTATTATTATTATTTTGACTTTTAAAATCTGTGTTTTTTAAATAAATGCTTTATTTTATTAAAATTGTCGTCTTTTGACATTTTCTTTTTTTTTTGTCATCTTTTATCAAATTTGAACACAACGAAATATGTTCTCATTGTCTCTAAGCTCATCTTAACTTGATAACTTTGAAAAAAAAAACAAAAAAATGTAAATAACACTCAGGGACGCTTTGCCATCAGGGGTGTCTATCTACGTTGCATAAAGAGGTGCGCCTGCATAAGATCAATTAGGTTAAAGTTATTTTTCTTTTGAACAGACAAGAAGAAATTAAAAATACTTTTAAACTAATTTACTAAAATGTTAGGTTTGCCTTTTTTGTAATAATATATTATTACTAGAGACCGGATCATATGCCAATTTATATTTGCATATCAGTAGCAAAGGCGTTAACTATCTCCCATTTTGTTAAATTTTATTTACTTCATCTTACTGTAAACCAAACTGTTATTTTTCAAATAGATAAACGATATTAAGTGTCTGCGTATAAGTTTACAAGTTTACTAAAATATATATTGAATATTTTCACTGATTTAGCATATTTTACCAAAAACCTGCTAATGGTGCATAACATTTTTAAATTAAATTATTTGTTAAATGCAGAAAAACGATTTGAACACAAATCTTAAAGCAAAATTGGTCGGGGTTTATAGTTTTAATCACAGTATAAAAAGGGGAAGGGAGTTTGGATCGTGCTTTACGTAACACCAAACATAAAAATATTAAGATCTTAATACAGCCCGTTCAGAATAAAACCGAATATATCTATATATATATGGGGCGTGGCCTCGCCTCCCTCCAACGCGCGACACAGTAGCTAAGCAAATAGCCTGCATCGCTAATGAGATTTTTTGCATTATTATCATTTAATTTTTTAAGTCCTTACCTGCTCGACCTTTCGTCATGTCGTTTATCACAGAAGCTACTGTGACGCGCCTTGGAGGGAGGCGAGGCCACGCCCCATATAATAATAATAATAATAATAATAATAATAATAATATTTATTGCATTATAAAATAATTTACAAGTAACTTTACATTTCACAAGTTTGCAACAAATATGCTAATCTGCACTATAAATGTTAGAAACATTTGTGCGTGCAGGTACAATAAATAAACAATAAAAAAAAAATGTATAATAAATCATAATACGAGTACAATGTATAATAAACAACAGTATCGCTTTAAAACCTTAACAATACAGTAAGATTATACTAAAACACAAATAATTAATTCATAGCTATAGACAATATATTCGTAGACTAATTCCAGACTAAAACTTAAACTATAAGTAATCTAAAAATAAAGATAAAAATAAAGATAAAAGGATAAAAGGAGGCCTATAGTACTTAAAATATAAATATGAAAACTAATTAAAAATTAAAAATTTATTAAAAATATTGAAGATTTATAAACGACAATTTATAAACACTATACACATAATGAGCAGTTTTTTAAGTCAATTTCGTTAGATACAAACCGTCTGGGTTTTTGTAGTACATAACTTTTGCTTATTTTTTTAAATGAATTTGGAATAAGTATGTTTTTTATATTTACTGGGAGGGTATTATATAATTTCGGACCAAGGTAGGTTAAACACCTTTGGCCAATGGTTTTGCGCATCTTTGGAACAAGTAAATGATCTTTTTGTCTCGTATATCTACTGTTTACTAATTGATGTGACTTTTTTTGAGCATGGGTGTATATTAAAAGATTAAGATAATAAAGTTGTCTACAATCCATCTTACCAGAGATGAGAAATAATTCGTCCGTTGGGTAAGTAATTTTAACACCATGCATTATTTTTAAAATTCTTTTTTGTAGCAACTCCACATCCTGCAAGTGATTACTGTATAAACCACCCCACCCAAGGATACCATATCTAAGATGCGACTCCACAAGTGCGTCGTATACAATGTTAAATTGGGTTATATTTAATATAGGATAAAGTAATTTAAAATAATGTAATAGGCATCTAAGTTTTTTGTTTATTTCCCGCACTTGTAGATCCCATCTCAGATGTGGATCCAATGTCAAACCAAGAAATCTGACCGAATTGGAGGATTCAATACTAAAACTTTCCCTGCACGTGGTAAAGGTAAGAATATTTAATTGTGGTAAACTATTTGAATATAAACCAAAACACATAAAATTTGTTTTCTCCACATTAAGCGAAAGTAAATTATAGTCAAACCATTTTTTAATATTGATAAAGTCTTTCTGTATTATATCTTTTAAGGATTCCCAGTTATGACTTTTATATAATATTGTTGTGTCATCTGCAAAACTCGTTATAGTACCCTTGATTTCTACTCTAAAGAGGTTGTTTATATATAGTATGAAAAGAAGCGGTCCCAAAATAGTACCTTGTGGGACTCCATATTTTGGTATCATCATCTCACTTAAATTTTCATTTATCCTTACCATTTGTTTACGGTTTTTCAGATATCCAGTAAGAAGTCTCAAAAGAGCGCCTCTAACCCCTATGCTATCTAGAACATTGATAAGTTTGTCATGACTTACGGTGTCAAACGCTTTGGCAAGGTCAAGAAAAATGCCAATTGCAGGTGTACCTTTATCCAATGCCTCATATATTTGACTAGTTAGTGATATTATAGCACCTTGAGTAGATTTGCCCTTCTGAAACCCGAACTGTCTATCTGATATTATTTTATATTTTTTTATATAATCTTCTAAACGATCTTTTAACAGCATTTCAAAAATTTTTGTTATGTTAGTTATTAAGCTGATAGGTCTATAGTTTATTGGCTTCAGTTTATCACCTTTCTTGTAAATATGTATCACTATGGAGGTTGTGAATGTAGGTGGACATATCCCAGATTCAAAAATCTTATTTATAATAGTTGATAGTGGTTTTGCTATTGCCTTAGAAATATTTTTTAATGTATAACTACTTATTCCATCCACCCCCACAGATTTTTTATTTTTTAATCTTTTAATTACTAATTTGACTTCTTCATCATGGGTTGGCATCAAAAACATTGAGTTGTTAAGTTTAAGGCAACTTTCCTTATAGTTTAGCGGTGGATTAATCTTTTCAGCCAGGAGACTGCCCATATTTATATAGTGTTCATTAAATATATTAGTTATTCTTGTCATATCTGTTGTTATTACATCTCCATCTATTATTTCTTTTATTTTATTGTCAGTTTTATTATTATTTTTTAAGTTTTTTATTGTTTTCCATAATTCTTTGTTGTTTGAATTATTATTAATTTTTTGTTTGTAGAAATTGCTTTTTGCTTTAACTATCATATTGTTTAATTTGTTTCTGTAGGTTGTATATTTTTGTCTTATATTAAGGTCTCCTGTTTCTTTATACTGCTTATATAATTTATCTCTATAATGTATGGAGTTTATAATACCTTGTGTTATCCATCCTTTTCTTTTTTGGTTTTCTTTTTTAATCCTTTTATAAATAGTGTTTTTATTGATATTTTGTTTTAATATATTTATAAATGTTTCTGTTGCAGGTTCCACGTCGTCGTTTAAAACTGTGTTCCAGTCTACATTGTGTAAATCCCTATTTAAGTCCCTATAGTTTATTTGTTTCATATATGTTTTTCTTTCAATTTTGTGTAATTTTTTGTGGCTTAATACGATTTGGGCCATAATTGGATAGTGATCTGTTATTTTTGATTTAACAATTACCGGCAATATACAATCATCTAGGTTATTTTTTGCTTTAATAAAAATGTGATCTATGCATGAAGTTTCATTATTTTGTTCCCTTGTTATTTCATTTATAACTGACTTAAAACCGTATTCCCCCATGATGTTTAGGTATTCACTAGATAAACCTGAGGGATTTAGTATATTTATGTTAAGATCACCCACAAATATAGACACGTCTGTATTTGTCAAGTTCGCTTGAAAGTAAAAATCTAAATCTATTAAAAATTGTGTAAGGTCAATCCCGTGTAATCTATATATTCCTATTTAATTTATTGTTGTATGATAAAAATTAATTTTTGAATTTATAATTTTGCATTCAGCTACTTTATCAATCTTAT